AATCGAGCACGCACAAATGTCAGGCACTGGGTGAGGCACTGGGGAAATAACAGAGGAGGTAATTTGAGCTGAGGGCTCCTCGCACGTCTCCTTGGCCAGCCTGCCTGGGCTTGAATCCTGACTGCACACTTACAAGTGGGAGACTGCATTTAATGACTTAACCTAAAAAAAGGAGCAACAAAAGACACAGTCCCTGCCCTCATAGGACACCCAGGATAGAGGGTGACTGACCTGCAGAAGAGGAGTTGGTTATTGGAAATGAGGGGCCAGAGTGTGGATGAGCCATCCAGGTGGATGCTGGCACCATCCAGCATGATAGCAGGGCTGGAGGGCCTTCTTGCCCTGAGGAGGGAGGAGCAGGGGGATGCAGCCTTCAACTGAGATGGCCTCAGGACACCACAGGAGGATCCTGGGGGAGCCAGGATGCATTCAGGGCAGGGAGAGGCTCTGCAAGGCAAGTCATCCTAGGAGAGCTGAAGACACTCTGGGAGCCTGGTCTGGTGCAGAAGGAGGAATCTGAGAGGTTAGTTGAGGAAGCTCAAGAATGTGGATAATCAGTGAGAGCCAGAGGCCAGGAAGCATTCCAGAGAATTAGGGAGGAGAGAGGGAAGAAACAGGAAGAGGTGTAAGGTTTAAACAGGGGAGCCACATTCAATAACTTCGCTCAGTCAAAGGAACTGTTGGAACACCACTGTTTTGGCTGGTAATTTTTCCTCTTAGTTTTCTGGATTAAGTACATGGAACTTCTGTGTTATCCTCAGATGCTTTAGGCTTCTAGAATACTCAGGATTCATTCTTTTTGCTACACTTCCTGGACCTAATGTTTGCAGTGGGAAGAGGGGCATGAGTCTTGGGGGTCAGCTGGTGTGTGGCTGGGTGGTCCCTGGGCCATGTCCCTGCTTCTGAACCTCCATGAGCTTGGTTTTTGCCCCACTCTGTGTTTGTAGCTCACTCCAGTCTTCCCTGACTTCCAGGTGGCTGAGTGGGCGACTGGCCAGGGCCATCTGGCCAACGTCAACATAAAAGGCTGACAAGGGAAAGGTATTCTTGGAACAGAAGATAAAGTCAAGGTGGTGGAAAGCTTGCTGCCTCAGTTTCCCACCAACTCTTAGACTAAGTAGAGCCCTAAATATTTGTTAAAGGAGCAAATGAATGGTCCCTCTGAGTTCTGTTTCAGTCTGCAAGTCATAGCCTTTGAGCTATGGACCGGGAGAGGCCAGAGGCTCTCCAGTTTGCCCCTCACTAAGGACACTACCGGCTCTAAAATGAGAACCAATTAAGTGGTCAGAAGCTGGAAAAAAAATGACAGCAAGTCAGGAATGAGGTAGTGGGTCCAGCTCCGGTTGTCTCAACATCTTTTCTTAAATAATCTCTTCTTTCCTCACCAAAACAATAAAGGCACTAATTAATCTTACATATTTTGGCCTATATGGTCAGGTCATTGTCACCTCATTATTCCAAAAACTGTGTCCTCAGATTACAATCCGAGTTCTCCCGCACTATTTTCTCACCTCCTTGAGTTCCTTCTTCAACTCCAGGTGCACCAGAGTTTTACTTTGTATCTTATTCTGACCTCTTGTTTCACAAAGGCCAAACTTTCTTATTGACAACAAAAAAGCAGATATTTTCTAAAATGTTCTTTCCATTACTCTAGTAAATTATTTTCAGAGTTGGGCTTTTTCTCCACACCTGAGTAATGCTTCTATTCTTCATTATAGAAATTTTCCCCAGGTCCCGTTTTGGGTATTTGTGGGTTTTGTGTGTGTGTATGTTTATACATCCTTGAATCAGCGTATTAATATTCCAACATGGCATTTGTAAGTTGTCTTTTATGAATTCAACATATTTTCAAAATCTATAATTTTTTTCAAAAGTTGATATTTGCCTAGCCTATCGTGGGCAAGATATTTAAAAAAAAAACAAGATGAATTACATGTAAGGATTCGTCTTCAAAGGGCCTCTGATTTACTAGAAGAGGTAAGATAGGTATAACGACAGTGCAAGGTAGAAAGCCAGGTAGGAGACACGGGTAAATTTCATGATTTCCCCCTGTGGCTTTTTCATAGATGACACAAGGTAAACCACGATGCTGACATAGAAATGACTGACTCTGCCCACAGCTCGATGTTGTTCTAAGTTGGCAGCCATTACAAGTTAGGAGCACTGAGCTTATTTCCAATTTATATTACACACCTTTCTCTTCTTCTATAAACATGTAAAAATACTAGCAAACATTAACGTGCTAATGTTTCTATGATGCTATAAATTAATGAGTGTAATAAATTTTATATTCTGTTACAATATTTGTTAAAAATTACCACATTCCATTGTAAACCAAAAAATTACCACATTCCATTGTAAATCACTGTTGTTGCTCAGCCATTTCAAAGAAGCAACAAGAACGTTACCAAGTGTCAGTGGAAAATAAGCAAGATATTTTCTCTGGGTTGAATAATTTCCCCAAACGGTTTATTTTCCAGTGATGAAAACACATAACAGTCTATCCTTCTTTTACACTGGCATAGATACATTAATCAATTGCCTTAATTACATCTTTTTGTGAAAAGGCAATTTGAAAAAACATGATTATGGGGAACTTGCATTTTAGGTACAGTTTTTATCCTGTTTACGTTTTTTTCAGTGTATCACATGCTTTGTAAGTTTGTTTTCCTTTTTTAAAAATAGGGACTAAGGACTGGCCTGTTGGGGTAGTGGCGGAGTTCCCCGCTCCACTTGGGCTGCATGGGGTTTGCAAGTTCGGATCCCGGGTGCGGACCTACATACCGCTCATCAAACTGTGCCGTGGCAGCATAACACATAGAGTAGAGGAAGACTGGAACAGATGTCAGCTCACAGACAATCTTCCTCACCAAAAGAAAAATAGGGATTAAGAGAACATTATTTTAATTTTGATATTTAAAAAACCCAGGCCACAACCAATAATAGTTTTAAGCTTATCTAATTAAGATGTGTTTGAAAATAGATAGAAAAGTATCTTTCAAACCCCTAGAGGGGGTATCCACCTCACAGATCCCTACATGATGTATGCTGTAACAGAGGCAAAGAGCCGCTAGGTGGCTCTGTCATTTTTAAATAAAACTAAGTCCGCAAAAGATAATGTCTACAGTAGCTAAGGAACAAAAATATCTCTACTAGGCAGAACCTTTAATCAAAGCAAGAAACAATAATCTGCTATCATGGCCTCTCGCTCAGAATAATTTGGAGTTAACGGGTTAAGAATTTGACTGAAAAAAAAAACAACCCTTAAAAACTGCAAAGTACGTATGGGTAAACAACTTGCTAAAAAACAAGGGAAGGTAGTAAACTCTTAAGGGTGTCAATTACCAAAGGGGAGCTGGTTTCAAATTTTTCCTCATTTATTGCCATCTAGGTTTCCAGTTTTCTTTTGGACTTTCTCTTTTTCAGTTTAGACCTTCAAATTTAAGAAAAAGTAGTATATCTGGGCATTATAACATTAAAAATTGTTTTATAATTTCTTGGATTACAGTTGCCATCCTTATTAACATCCCAAGGGAAATAACAAAACAAAACATCATTTTGGGTCATTTGGGGAGAAAAAAAAGCACTGTGCTTATCTAAATAAAGAAAACATTTAGACGCTTAAATCAAAATACAATTTAGGCAAACACTATTCCATTCGATAGTATCTGCAAGAGGTTGAAAGAAATACTGTGCTTCATAGTTGACAATAATTCCTGTCTGGTTCCGGAAAAGACGAAAAACAATTACATTTGAAGTGTGATTTGCATTTTAGGTACCAAAATTTGCTAGTTAAATATCTCTGCATTATGTTTTTTAAGAAGTGAAATAACAGAAGACGATGATTTTCCCCAAAGTACATAACTAACTTTATCATGAAAATAAATGCGTCCGGGAAGGGGGTGGGGAGCGTTTCCGAATTATTAAGTATTCTGAACTGTCAGTATGCACTTGGCAGAAAAAAATAAAACTTCCCCCCTCCCCTCTCTTAAATGAGAACCTCAGACCTGTCACTTATCAAGAACACACTTAGGAATAATTTTAATGGAATAAGAAACAATTTTCTTCTTATTGTTGTTCGGAAGCAGTAAGTAACGATTGCTTGGCATGTGAAGTCGCCACAGTACTGGTTTTGTTTTTTTCCTGGCAGGAGCCGCATTTGAAAACTTACAAAAGTAGAGGGCAAGTCATACACCATAATTCGTTGAGACCGTTTTTTGTAAACGAGCGCTTCTCGCACTGTTTAAATTACAGTTGGTTTTAAAATGCTAATTCCGAACCCACTTATTTAATGTCTTTGAAAACGTTCACCCTTTTGTTTTTGAAGACGACAAATCACACCAAAAGACTGCACAAACCGGACATAAAATTTACAAACACTTGCCGAATGTGAACCAAAATATAGTTATTGCGTGTTTAGAGACAGAGTTAGAGAAATTAAAAACCGACTTCGGTCTCTGACATCACAGAACTCACTAAGAGAGGGGGACACACCAAGGATGCCCGTTAATATAACCTACCGTATACCCCCAAAGGGTTGCAATTCACGTCTATTATTTCCGACCGGGAGCCGGTCAGTTAAGACCGGACGTGAATCTCTTCCAACTCGATCACAAAAGGTGTACAGGCTTCAGGTAGAAAAACTGAAGCAGGGAGGCAGGTGCTCTAAGCGGCCACCGCAAGTTAACTTACGGACCATTTAGAAAACAGTTGCACTATTTCGGTTATCTTCTCTTTGTTTTAGTATTCGTTATTTTAGCTCCTTATTGGGCTAAGAATACGGTGGCTAGGAACGGGGTGCTCTTCGCCTTAAACCTGGAGGCGCCGGCGCCCCGCTGCCTCCCCGGGCTCCCCGCGCTCCCGGGCCCGCGAGGAGGGGCTGCAGGGGCGGGGCGGCCGGGCGGGCGGCGCGCGGCTCGGGCGCGCTCCCCTGGCGGCGCGGGCAGGTGGGGCGTGGCGGGGGCGTGGAGAGCCCCTGCCCGCGGGCCACCGCCCAGCCCCGGGCCCGGCCCGGGAGGAGCCGCGCCGCCGACGGTTATAAGAAGCCGGCTCGCAGGCGCCCCGCGCGCAGCCGCCCGACCCCCGCCCGGAGCACCGGTCGCCGAGCGCGGGCCGAGGCGGGGCCGCAAGGTTGGCCCCCAAAGGGATGCTCTCGCCCGAGCGGCGAGACCAGCCCCGCTCGCCCCTCGCCGCCGCCGCGCCGCACCCGCCGACGGCCGCCGACATGGCTCTCTACTGCGGCGACAACTTCGGCGTGTACTCGCAGCCCGGCCTGCCCCCGGCCGCCGCCGCCGCCACCGCCCCGGGCGCGCCCCCGGCCTCCAGGGCGCCCTACGGGCTGGCCGACTACGCCGCGCCGCCGGCCGCCGCCGCCAACCCCTACCTGTGGCTCAACGGGCCGGGCGTGGGCGGCCCGCCCGCAGCCGCCGCCGCCGCCGCCGCCTACCTGGGCGCCCCGCCGCCGCCGCCGCCCCCCGGGGGCGCGGCCGGGCCCTTCCTGCAGCCGCCGCCCGCCGCCGGCACCTTCGGCTGCGCTCAGCGGCCCTTCGCGCAGCCCGCGCCCGCCGCGCCCGCCTCGCCCGCGGGGCCCGCCGCGCCCGGCGAGCTGGGCTGGCTGTCCATGGCCAGCCGCGAGGACCTGATGAAGATGGTGCGGCCGCCCTACTCGTACTCGGCGCTCATCGCCATGGCCATTCAGAGCGCGCCCGAGCGCAAGCTCACGCTCAGCCACATCTACCAGTTCGTGGCCGACAGCTTCCCCTTCTACCAGCGCAGCAAGGCCGGCTGGCAGAACTCCATCCGCCACAACCTGTCGCTCAACGACTGCTTCAAGAAGGTGCCCCGCGACGAGGACGACCCAGGTGAGGGCAGCCGCACAGGTGCTTCCCCCGCCGGCGGGAGGGTGGGGAAGCGGCGCGTGGGCGGGGTGGGGGGTCTGAGTGTGGTTGACTTGAAGATGCACGCGGAGTCTTCTCATTCTAACTGGGGGTGGGAGCCGGTGGAGGAACAGCCACCTGAACCTCTCTGATTAGGGTGAGGGGAAGCCAGAGGACAAAAAGTGATCAGAGCATCCCCCGAGGGAGGACCCGGTGAGGGAGGAGCTCGTCCCTTACACCCACACCCACTCACTCCCCCACACCACCCACCCACACACACGCAGAGGCTGGCCGCTTAGAGAAAAAGGAAAAAGCTCGTATCCTCAAACAGAAAGGCACCCCTGGGTGGTGTTCCTCGGGCCAGTTGAAGGGAGGGTCGGGAGGGTCAGGTTACAGGCAGGTTGGTTAGGAAGAAGAACACCGGTGAGCTCTCAGATAGGGAATGACTGTAAAGGGATTCAGATGAGCTGAGAATCCCATCACATTTCACAAAAGAGGTGGTGAGAGACCAAGAGGAACAGCCTTCCATAATGCACTTCTTCCTGCATCAGGTTCCTAAGAGACGATCTCTCTTCTTCATGAAAGGAGCACTGTGCCAGCCTTGAGAGAGGATTTGAGGATAGAGGCACAGGCCTCGGGAGACAGGGGCAGCGGGATCAGAGAACTTTAGCTGGGTCCTTCAAATCGCGGTTGTGGTACCTTAGTTATTTAGAAGTGTAAAAATGAAAACTCCAAATCTGCTTCCGTTCTGATCTAAGCCCTGGGGGGAGGAGGGCTGCGTTCCAGTGCAGTGTTAGTAGTTTTCCTCTTTCCTGAGAAGTGGAGGCAAGAGAAAAGCTCCTAAACAGGAGAGAAATGGAATCCTCCTTGAGGTTTTCAGAAGGAGCCCAGGACGAGGGAGATGGAGGCAGAGTGGTGATAGAAAAGGAGAAGAGAAATAAAACCACTTGAGATGCACACTACAGAGATCCAGGATTTGTGTAAATTATGTAAATCTTCTGGAGTATTCGTATCTGAAGTCATTCCGGAGCAGTGCTTTCCAATAAAAATAGAGTACAAACTATTGTAAATTTTCTAATAGCCACATTAAAAAAGTAAAAGGAAACCAGTGAAATTATTTTTAGTATTTTCTAAGTAACCCAAAATAATGTTTCAACATAGAACAAATATAAAAATTATTAGTGAGATACTTTATTTTTTTGGTACCAAGTCTTCAAAATCCTGTGTTTTCCACCACATCTCAACTGGGACTGGCCACTTTTCAAGCACCCAGAAGCCACGTGTGCCTAGAGGTTACTGTATTGGACAGGGCATGCAGTTCTAGAAGGTGCGTCTTCCCTGTTTGGCTTCGGAATCACCTGAGATCATCATGTAAATTGTCGTATACGCCTCTGGACTTTCTAAAAAGTTCAAAGATCTATAGCTAGTGTCTGGTCAAAGCGCTTGGTATCAAGGTGGCACAGTATAAATATCCTGATAGGTGCAGGTAGTATTGTTTAGATGGTAGTTGTAGCAATACATTTTTTTCTGCAACTATTTGCAGAAAATGTGTCAGTAGAAATAGTGGGTGTGGGGGAGTGTGTGCTAATTTGAGGAGGCAGCATAGAAGTGGGCAGTTAAGACTGCTGAGTCTAGAGCCAGCCTGCTTACATCCTGGCTCTACCTTTGCTGACTGGGAGTACGGCAGGTTACTAACCATTCTGCACCTCAGTCTGCCCATCTGAAAAGTGGAGGTAATAATGTTGAGGAGTTGAGCAAGCACTCACGGCCAGGTAAGTGCTTCACCGTCCTTTCAGATGCCAGAGATTTTTGCCAGAAGTGAAAAAAGCTGTTGGGAGACAAAATCCTCCAAGATGGTAGATCCTTTTTTTAACCTCACTTGCGCTAGATAGAGGGAAATTTTCTAAGCAGGAGACAAGCATTGCTTGCATGAAATGGGGCCCTGATCTCTGAGGTTTGCCCAGTGGAGGAAAAACTTAAGAAAAACCTCCTGCCCAAGGCACAGAGGGGACGTAGACTCCAGGAGCTTCCTCATACCCTGAATATATGCCATCCAAGGCATTGTTAAAACCATTCATTGCTCAGTAATAACTTTTGTTGTCATTTTCGTTCATTCAGCAAGGCAGAGGATCAGCTTTCTGAGACTGTCTTTTTTCAGTGGGGTATTTTTTTAGGGGCGAGTATTGTACCCCTTCAGCAAATAATGCTGACAGATCCTGTTTTGTCACTGCTTACATGTGCCAGCTACTATGCAGCGATATCGTTTAACCCTCAAGCCAACCTATGAAGTGGGTACTATTTCTATACCTATTTTTGTAAATCAAGAAACGGAGCCTCAAGTTTAAGTAGCGCCAGAATTCCGTGATTTTGCAAGGGCACAACATGGATCTAGAAGGGAAGGTGTTGGGTAATTATAAGAGCCTTGGGAATAGAGTTAGGTCTTAAGATTTAAGTAGCAGACACTATGCAGGAGGAGGTAGAAGTGGCCAGAACATCTTTGTTCCAGATTTCCCCTTGCAGGTGAAGAACAAAATCTCTCCCCAAAGGAGAAATTTAAACGGCAGAGTGGATTGAGCATCTTGGTCAGCATTTAATGAGAGACTGCCCGACTTCTGCCAGAACTGAAGCCGAATACACGAGCATAAACTAGGTCCCTCTCTGACTTGTCTTTCTTTCTCATCTCTATAGGGAAAGGTAATTACTGGACCTTGGATCCAAACTGTGAGAAAATGTTTGACAACGGGAACTTCCGCCGGAAGCGGAAGCGCCGCTCCGAGGCCAGCAGCACCTCCACGGTGGCCGCAGGGACATCAAAATCAGAAGAAGGGCTTTCCTCAGGATTGGGATCTGCAGTGGGTGGGAAGCCAGAAGGAGACAGCCCCTCGGCTTTGCTAAGGCCTTCGCAGTCCCCGGAGCCTCCGGAGGGTACTAAGAGTACTGCCTCCTCCCCAGGAGGATCCATGCTCACCTCCACCCCGTGCCTCAACACCTTCTTCAGCAGCCTCAGCACCTTAAGTGTCAGCAGCAGTGGGAGCACCCAGCGAGCTCTCCCTGGCAGCCGCCACCTAGGGATCCAGGGGACCCAGCTGCCGTCCAGCAGCGCATTTCCCCCCAGCTCCATCTCAGAGGCCTCGCCAGACAACCTGCAGCTGAGTAACAGCAGCACCAGCAACGGCAGCAGCCAGAGGTCTTCCTATTACAGCCCCTTCCCCACCAGCACCAGCGGGGGTCAAAGCAGCCCCTTCAGCAGCCCTTTCTACAACTTCAGCATGGTCAACAGCCTCATCTACCCCCGGGAGGGCTCCGAGGTATAGAGCGCTGCTGCTCAGACTTGAATATGCACACCTGAGATCTTGTTAAAATGCACATTCCAAGGCCGTAGGTCTGGGGCAGGAACTGAGACTCCGCATTTCTCTGGAGCTCCCGGGTGATCTTGTGGCCCATTGACCACACCTGGAGTAGCATGGGTCTAGTAGATAACTCTTTCTACAACCCAGCGAGGTTTTACAGGCTTCTCTGGATAAGGGCCTCCCTGGAGAGAGAGTCATCTCACTGTTCTGGGATGGTACCTGTGAGCCCTGTGAAGGCGGGGACCATGTTTTGTTCATCACTGTTTATCAGGGTTCCAAGCTCAGATGTGTACCAGGGCCAGCTAGGAAACAAGCGAATGAAGTTATTGGGTGGGAAAAAGGTAGCAGTTGGCAACTGAAGCAGTAGGGGGTGTCTGGGACTGAGCAGCTGAATGAAGGCTGCTGTGGGCAGATAGTTAGCTCCTGCCTGGCAGCTTTCTGATTTTTCTAGAAAAGTTGGATATGTGGATTTTTATAGGAAACCTCTATTTGTATTCTTTGTCACAAATTAAAGTTTTAAAAATACTGTAGTAGGAAACACCACAAATCCTTGAGCTGTATCCAGCTCACGAATCACCTCTGCGTATGCTCAGTGTCTGGTACATGGTAGGTACTAATAGCAATAAAAGTGCCCAGGCAAGCCCTGTGTGCCAGGCACTGCTCTAGACACTTGACGTGTATTAACTCAGTTAATCCTCACAACAACCTTGGGAGATGGGGTTTGCTACTACTCCTCGTTTTTTATATGAGGGCAGTGAAACTCCAAGATATTAGGTAACCGCCCAAGGCCACACAGCTAGTAAGTCGTGGGGCCAGGATCAGGTCCAGGCAATCTGGCTCCAGAGCTGGTGCTTGTAAGCTTTTGTGTTCTAGTTCCTGAAAAACAAAGGTGCCCGCGTCCATAGGCAGACATAGCATATCGGGGGTAGGAATGAGCAAGATCTCATTGGACCAAAGATTCTGGTTGAAATAAATCACTTGAGATGTTAATGGACACCACCTCTGCCTTATTTTTTCTGCCACAGTCCTGAGGTGACCATCGTCCTAGTTAACTTGATGCTCCATCCCTTTTAGCATGTGTCCTGGATTTTTCATTTTTTAACAAAGTCTTAGAATTTTATTAAAAATAGTCTTTAAATGGAATTTTTATAGTTTTTAAATAAACCATTTGTGGTCAAAAAATTTTTTTAAATATAATTTATTTTTAGTCTTCCCTTTTACTTCTCAAGAGGTGTCTTCATTTGAATAATTTTTATGGTCATCCTCCCAGTGCCCAGTAGAGTGCCTGGTACGTGGCAGACACTTATCCAAAAAGCGTTAATTCAAATGTGGTTAGTTGATTTCTTTGGAACAGCGTTGCGTTAAGCTGAAGATATGCCCTGTTGCCTTTGTACCATGTTGTTGGGTCTTCAATAGGAGCGTTACTGGTTTGGGGTTTTAATTTTTTTAGAAAAAGGAACACAAGTGCATTGTGAAAAATTTCTGACTTTTCCCTGTGTATTCTATCTTGAGACTCACAGCATTTCTCTTAAATTTTTATTTTGAAATATACATACAGAAAATTATTTTTTGAACAGTTTATTGAGGTATAAATAACATGACCATTACTTGTTAAGTATTATGCAGAAAGACAACCAAAGAGACTACCTACCCCCATATTGTGTGTACAAAAAACCAGTTTCTATGGATATTTTTCTATGTGAAAAATCGTATGAACTTTTATAAATATTGTTTCTAATACAATTTTATATTTGTAAATTAATTTATAATGTGAACTGGGACAAAACATTTTTTTCCCAAGAAAGTACACTGCATGCTAAGAATCACATGAAATAAACTTTAAGTGGGATGACGTTGGGCACTTGTAGGCATTACTGTTTTTCCGTCTTCAGCTTTTTTCTCCTAACGGAATAGATGTAGGTGGTATGGTACTGAAGCCACTACAGGGACTTTCTGTGTGTTGAGAGAGAGTAATTGAGTTTTCATTGGCTTTGTTCTACCTACCCACATCTGAAAGGGCTAGAAGGAAACAATTACTCTTTGAGCAGGGTCTGGAGACATATGAGCATTTAACTTATTTTTAATGAAGTAACAATTCTGTCCTTTAGATTAAACTGAACTTCAGTGCGCCAGACAACTTCTGTTCCAGAAAGAAACGGCGCTGTAAGGCCTCACAAGCTGGCAACACTCCTCAGGTGGAGCTCTTACAGCCTTGGGTGTTATGATCCTCAGGGGGCGACAGGCAGCCCATCAGTTCCAAGGAAATAACTAGGAAACTGTTGAACTTGGCCGCATCTAGAAGAAGCCTGAAAGATGAGGTGTCTCTACCAGGGTTTCTCTTCCTCAGCATATTGATATTTGGGGCTGGGTAGTTTGTTGGGAGAAGTTGCACTGTGCGTTACAGGATGTTTAGCCGCATCCCTGGGCTACCCATTAGATGCCAGAAGCACCCCTTCTCCCCCCAGTCCTGGCCATGTGTGAAGACCAAAAGTATGTCCAGACATTGCCAAATGCCCCCTCGGGGGCAAAATTAACCCTGGTTGAGAACCACTGATCTAGACCAGTGCTCACAACTTGCCAATGAGAAAACAGCCCCCTCACTCCCTCACACAAAGTCCTGGGTCCAAGGCTAGCAGTTGAGCCCTGAGTGAATTAGGCCTTGGTCTTCTGGTACAGGACAGTTTCTGTCCTATGAGATGCCTGCCTTCTCTAAAGAAAATGAGTCGTGAGCAGGAACAACCCAATCCTGGAGGCGTTTCTGAGAACTGAGATCCACCGCTCTGGGCCTGTCACGCTGGAGGGAGCCCAGTATCTCAGTTGCTGATATAGATTCTTATGGTAGCCTCCTCCTTGGCATCTAATTATTTCCATGAATAGAGACCTAGGCTAGGAATAATTTTGAGCAAACAATAAACTGGGTTATTAGTATGTTTGGGTTTCTTTTGGCAGGGGTGTGGGGGACAGGCAGAAGCATTTCTTGGAAAGAAAGACACGTTAAAGAAACGTGATTAAGCTGTATTTGGAAGTATCTAGATCTGGGTGGTTGATTGATATTAAATGCCAGGACGACGGCATTTATGAGAACAAAGGCAAAGAGAAGGCTCTTCTGATCCGAACAACTCCCAAGGGCAGCAGGGTGTCTCAGTCCCCACTCCCGGGACCAAAGAAGCTGTGCTGTGGGCACGTCTCCATCCGGGAACTGCCTCCCCTCCTGCTGGGCGTGGGATTAAAGGGAAAGGGACAAGGCCAATGCCTGTGATGTTTCCAGGTCACAGTCTGCACCAGCACACCAATTGGCATCGGCTTCCTGCATCTGCAGCATTTTCTGCCTGGGAACCAGGTCAGAAATTCTGGTCTGAGCGAGACTTCACTTTCCGTCGTTCAGGACAGTGCCTAGGAAAAGATGCGGCCCCGCAGCGCAGAGTTAAGCACCCCTGTTTTCAGGGGTTTCCCCCTGGACTAGGGTGTGATGTCAAGTTGCAGCCCAGGCTGAGGCCATTGGGCACATTTATAACTCAAAGCAGCTGCCATCGGCCTTCTGGGACCTAGTGTACCTTTCAGAGTACGACATGGGCAAAGGAGAATTTGAAAAAAAGCAGGTTTCAGGTTTCCTTCTGGATACTTCTAGATCCTTCATCTCATTCTTGAACTTACTGGGAAAAGGCAGCTGGGGAGCCCAGAGGCTTCGAAAACTGTGCATCTGCACCCCAACTCCGCCCCCCAGCCCCCGAGGGCACTCACAAGTCCCTCTCAGGGCAGACTGACCGAGCTTTGGCCACGAGGAACGTCACAAACTCCCAAACTCTGCTCTCTTCCTCCCTGAGACCTCCCAGGACTTGAGCAAAGCCTGAATCTTCAGAGTCCAACTGGTTTTTCTTTTCTTCAGCAGCTCTAGTAACTAAACCTTGAGGTTGTTAATGAAAAAGAAACCCCTGGCGTTTTCCTGAGGCAGGGATTTGCTGGTTTCTGGGTAGAGACCTGGCGGCCGACGTGGCCTTACCTTTTGTCATGGAAAGCAGTCAGCTGGGGTGGGTGGCTGGGTGGCGGGCGCCGCTGAAGAAAGAAGGAATTTCCTGTCAGATCTGAAAACAAAAAAGGTCAAAAAAGACCAGATACCTGCTGAATTCCTCCCTGCTTTTTTATTCATGATGTTAGAGGATCATTACCAAACCCTGGGAGACCTGGAGAGTGTCCTTTATCATTTTAAAACAGGTAAACATTACAATGATAATTCATCAGGTGCCAGGACTGTCCTAAATATGTATATGTATATATATAAAATACAGGATAGCTATATTACCCCTCCCAACAACTCTGTGAATTAGATACTGTTATTTTTCATTCACCAATGAGAATACTGAGGCCCACAGAGTTTGTATAACTGGGCCATGTTCAAAAATCTAAATGGTTGCTGCCGGTGAGTGGTAAAATGAGGCCATCTGACGTCAGAGCCCACCTGCCCCTGACCTACTATAATGCCTCTCCATTTTGAAGATGAGAAAGGTGACGCACAGAGAGGTTAAGTGACTTGTCCAAGGCCACACAGCTTGTTGGTTGTGGATTTGGGCTTACAGCCCAAGCGCTTGCCCTGCTGCCTCCCCTTCTGGCATTTCCTTTCTATGCTCCCTAAGATTGGTTTTTGGGTCTGGGGATCCCTTTTGTGGTTACAGGATGGTAAGCTGTGGGAAGGGAAGTCACTTTTCCTTGACATGTCCTCCTTTGCAGGATCAGCCAGCAGCCAGGTCAGAGGCCCAGATCTCCGGCTCTGAAGCTGCCAAGGGAAGCCAGATGTTGGGGATGCTGATTTGGAACCTTGGATTCATAGGAAATTTATCCACTGACTCAGCAAATCCCTTTGGGCATCAGGCCCTGTGCTGGGCATTGAGGACACTGAGACAACTGAGACCCACTCAGACCTTTAGCCAGGAGGGCAGAAGCCTGGAATAGAGCGCGCAGGGTGGGGAGGGTCCTCAGGGTGGGGCTGAGCTTCCTCCACCTAGCTCTCAGCCTCCGGTGAGGGAGAGGGAACGCTTTAACTCCTGGAAGAGCGGCGGCCAGCAGCCCGGTCCTGGGCTGGGACGGGCGGCAGCTCCATCGCTCGCTCCGTCGGTTTCCTGCGGCTCGTGCTAGGAGGAGACGAGAACCAGACGGTGTTCGGAGCGGTGGTGCTTCTGGACCGACAGAAGCCGCGGCAGCCCGGCGGAGCCCTCTTCAGGGCCTCGGCCTCGCCAGCCCCGGGCGGGCGGGCGCATTCCAGCGGCCGGGCTGGCGTCAGCGGCCGCGCTCCCGGCTGCCAGCTTTCAGCCCCCACCCCGGCGTGCAGAGACGGACTTGTCCGCACTCACTTCAAAGGAGGTTCCCGGCTACCAGTGCGTTGGGGATTTCTCCTCCCTTTTACCCTACTGAAATGCGTTATGCAAACCGCGATGCAGGAATCCTGCTGCTCCGTGTTGGGATCAGAAAGCGGGACCTTAACAAGCATGAGGACCTCTCTTCTCTCCCACCCGCAAGGATGACGCCAGCTGCCCCCATTCCCGAGCTGCTCACCTCCAACTCTCCACACCTGGGCTGACCCACAGGCACTGGGACTGTGGCCCAGCATGCAAACTCCCCAGGCCCCAGCCTTCTCCTGAGATGGATAAGAGCCATATATACTGCACAGGGCTGTTGAGAGCGTTAAAATGTCTATTTATATTTGAATCTGTGTGTTTGACCAAGAGTACAATGAGAAGGGCTTTGGCATCCACTCGGAGCCTCCACTTGTGTCTTCTCAGAAAGCCTGATGTCAACATTATCCATTTGTTTGCCCAATAGCCTTGGAGGGTGAGTATTATTAGCCTCCTATTACAGAAAGGCAGCAACAGAGTCAAAACCTTGGCAGACCGCCGTGGCTGGGAAACCGGGAAAGGCTTACAGGAAAGAGAAGTTCAGTCATCGTCCACGGCAGTGAGCGATGAGTCAGTTAATAAATGTACCAAACACCTACTGACTCTTCTTTTGTTCCCTCTGTTTTCCTCACACCCCACATCCGAGCCCAAAGCAAGCGCTGTTGGCTCTAGTATCCAGAATTGGTTCCAGCCCAGAACTTCTCACCAGTTCACCTGCCACCACATCTCTGGCCTGGAGGGCCACCGCAGCCTCCTGACTGGCCTCCCAGCCTCACCTCCTGGCTCCCTACTGTTCAGGTTGCATTCATGTTCCGAGCTCATTCTCTGCTTGGAAGCCAGAGGATGAATCTTTTCGACAACAGACATGATTATATTGCTTTCCTGCTTAGAACCTTTTGGTAGCTTCTCTTACTAGCAAACTCCCAAGTTCTTCCGTGGCCCTGCATGAACAGCTCCTTCCCCCCTCCTCCCACAAACCCCCTTTACTTGGCTCCAGCCGCTCACCGCTTTGCAGCCCCTCAGATATTCCGGGCTCTTCTGTCTTAGGGTCTCTCTGCAGTTATGCCTCCTGCCACAGGAGCTTAATTCCCCAGATCTTCTCAGGCTTCCGCTCAAAGGCCCGTGTCTCGGAGCAGCTGTCCCTGAGCATCCACGTCCCTCCCCACCTCCGCCAACTCCCCTCAGGCTGCCTTTTATAAATTGTTCTTCGCACCTTAGCTAAACCACTGATTTAAAAATAAAACAAAAACGTTATGTTAACAGGATGGTTTCTGGGGATGAGTGGTGAGCAGGGGAGTAGGGACCAGAGGGAGGATGGTGGTATGATTCACCCAGCTGCACTCTCAGGTAATCCCAGTCATGTCTGTCTCCTCTTATTTTAAAAAGAGAATGTAGCGGCCAGCCAGATGGTGTAGTGGTTAAGTTCGCACTGTCCCCTTCCATGGCCCAGGGTTCATGGCTCCAGAGCCCATGCACAGACCTACACACAGCTCATCAAGCCATGCTGAAGCGGCGTCCCACATACATAATGGAGGAAGACTGACACAGATGTTAGCTCAGGGCCAATCTGCCTCACACACACACACAAAAAAGTCCATGTCCAAGAGAAATAATTGTCTTATTGATCTTCAGAGAAAGGTACATTATTCCTCCTTCCTGTTTGGGGAAGCTGAGGCACAGAGCCTCCACTTTCCCAAGACTTTTATTCATGATATACCTCACTTGCCCAACTGTGGCATCACTCAGGACATAGTATAGAAGAAGTTGTCTTTCTCCTTTAGTTTTAAATGGGCAAAACCCCAAGAATTTTTGCTATGTTTAGCCTGGATTTAGAACTCAGCCGTCCCCTTTCCCCACACATCACTTCCCTCTTGCCACGTTCATACCTCCCCTGCGTTCCCCTGGAGACAGCGGTCTCAGCCAAACACCTGGAGCCTTTGATCATCCACCCATCAGCTGCCCCCAGCGCTCGTTTCAGCCAGAAGACTTTCAAGTTCTCCCCCTCGACCAGGTTTGGGAAAGGAAAAAAAGGCCGATAGCAGCTGTTACACCGCACCTTGCTTTGCATACGGTGGTAAGAGCCAAAGCATTGCTGCTTCAGCAGATTTTAAAAACCTTCCTTCGATGGGATTAACTGCCGTGCAGCCAATGATGGCCGCCACACAGCATAGCAAAGTAAGCCACAGAACCCCGCTTCTTCCACTGCCTGCTCAGATGTGGGCCCGATGTCCCTTTTTTTTTTTTTAATCACTTTATTAAAAATGTAGAATGCTTCACAAATTTGCGTGGCATCCTTGCTCAGGGGCCATGCTGATCTTGTCCGTATCGTTCCAATTTTAGTATACGTGCTGCCAAAGCGAGCACTCTATGTATGTTTCTTGATTCAGGAACTGCTGAGAATATACATGTCCTACCCTTATAGGATTATAATCCTGGACAGAGGACTAGCAGTGGGGCTGGCACTCGTGTGGCCGTAATTCTCCTTTCCAGCATCTTACATGTGAAGATTCCTCTAAAAGGGTAGCATCACAGTTCATTCTGATGCTTCCAGATTTGGTGCCCTTTCATGTGTTCAGTGGTTTTTACTACTCACTTTCTATACCTACCAGGAGACACAGCTAAAATCAAGGTCCTTGTAAGGATGACGCTTACCTTCTAGCGGAGGAGAAGAAGCAAACAGGGGATAACAGCAGGATGACAGTGCTTTGATGGGAAAGTGTGGGGTGCTGGGTGGGATCCCTGGGAGAGGCTCCAAGCCTGACCTGAGTAGAAGTTGGTGAGACGAAGAGGGCGGGGAGGGAGGGAACAGGTTTTGGGGTAGGGGCAGAAGAAGAGTGAAGGCCTGGAAGTGAGAGGCCATGGCTCCTGTGGGGAACTGAGGGAAGCCGCGCTTGGAGGCAGGTAGCCTACAGCAGAGCTTCAGGCAGGGAAAGGCAGTGGCGGAGCTGGGAGGTGAATCTATGGTCTGATGAGGCCCATCAGTAGAACAGAATTGGGCGGAATCGAACAGAATAGAAATGAATCAAATTTCAATTTAAGAGTGAAATTTCTATTTCAAATAGACTCCTTTGTGGAAAACCTTTTGGAAGGACAAGATCTTCTAAGAGAGACCACTGTGGAAGCTACTGGAGAAATATAAGCGAGAGGTGATGGGAGTCTAAAGTAGGGTAGGGGATAATGGGGAAGAAAAGAATGGGATGTCTGAGAGGCATTTAGGAGGTAGGAAGGGGCAGACTTTGTGATTTCCTGAAAATGGTGGTAGAGGGAGAAGGAAGACCCCTAAAATGACTGTCAGGGTTCTGCCTGAAGTAATGGGGTGAAGGGTGGTACCGTTCAGAAGAGGAGGGACTGTCTGTGGGCCCCCCAGGAGGAACTTTCCAGCAGGAGCTGGAGTCTGTAGATTGGGATTAGAACGGAGGACCAGATTGGCAACGCAAATCTGGGAGGAATCAATGTGGAGGAGAGATTTAATTTAGTCACTTAATAAATATTTCTCAGCAGCTACTTTGTACAAGGCCCTGCGCTATGGGCTGGAGACACAATGGTGAGTAAAACAGTCTTCTTCCCTTCTTTCTTGGAGTTTATACTCTAGTGGGGGAGACAGGCATCAAGGAAATCATCTCACTAGTGAATACGCGATTACAAAGTGGCCTGAGTGCTGTGAAGGAGGAAGGCAGGGTTCTGTGAGCACATAAAGGGAAGGATGGTAATCTAGCCTGGGGAACCAGACCAGGTTTCCCTGAGGGCCTGAGGCTCAAATGGAGATCTGAAAAAGTGGGCGAGTGTGGACCAGGTGAGAGGAAAGAAAGTGCATTCCGGACAGAGGGAGCAGAATTTACAAGGTCCCTGGGGTCAAAGAGGACCCAGCATGCTGGAGGGGCTGAACGGGGTGCAGAGGGCTGAGGGACACAGAGTAGTGTGATGGGACATAATCAGATTTGCCCTTTGAATAGTTGGGTGAGGTAGGGAGTCTTCAGGAATGAGGTGGACAAGAGTAGGATGTTATTGCAGTTGATCAGGTAAATGTCTTGGACTAAGATAATGACAATACAGAGACATGGATTCTTTTGAAAGGTATCAAGGAAGTAAAATTCAGAAGACTTCGAGAGGTATTGGATATAGAGGTGTAAGAGAGGAAGGTATCAAGGAGGATAGCCTGGGAAACCGGCTGGTAGGGGGCGCCATTTCTGAGATGAGGAAAATTGAAAGAAGATCAGTTGTTACGTGGTGTGGGGGGAGGGGAGAGGGTCATAAACTTGGTCTCAGATACATTGAAATGAAGTGACTCTGAGACATTCAAGCGGGAATGTAGATGATTGCGGAGCTCACAGGAGAAGCCTAAGCTGAAAATTTAAATTATGAGTCGGTGGTGTGGAAATATTAATTGAGGGACTTCTGGTTTCTGATACACAAAGAGCTTAGAAGTTATTACTTCCATGGCCACAATAAGAAAAAGCTGGATAAACTGAAAATCAACACCTTTTCTTAGATTCATCAGAGAATTGAGGTCAAACCACTGCCCCCCAAACTGGAAAGAGATGTGGATACTGAGAATCACAGTTTACCAGGAGCAAAGTTTACTGCTTTCACTGGAGCCAGAACTGGTAGTGTTACTGCGCAAAATTGGGGTTCTCTGCCCAATGCACGTAAACAAGCCAATTAATTATGGCATCAGCCTTTGCACAAGAGATCAGCTTTATTCTGCGAGATCAATCTGCAGGGAGACAGGGATGGAGGGGTGCCCTCAGATCTGTCTCCCCAGTTCAGGATTTGGGTGAAATTTAAGGGGTTAAGGAGAATAGACTGGCATGTGGAAACACTGGTGGGACAGATTTTGATTGGTGGGCTTCAAGCATTTATGGTAAGGTTTTAAACATTTATGATGAGGTTCTAAACACTTTTGATGAGGTGGGGAAGGAATCTTAACACCAGATCTTCCTGAATGAGAGACTGCTGGCTTCTGATAAGAGTCTGGCTTTCACATTCTGGTTGTGTCCCAGTCCTTGAGTTCCGTGGGAAGGAAGATCTTTGGTTCTGAGGTTGTTTCAGGTCACAATTTCTTCTTTTGTGCATACCCTGGCTATATGCCTTTGCAGATTTTCTGAAAAGCAATTCTTAGTCACCGTTAATAAGAGAGGGGTGAGTTGAACTGGTCCTGGAGGGCCCATAGTTACAGTAGGAAAACGTAAAGTGTAATCGACAGATTGCTGGAGGATCAAGTGGACAAGCTTCGGAGTTAAAGACCAGGGTCCCAGTCTTAGGGGGTCCCCACACTTTCCTGAGTTTTACCCCTAGGAACTCTTTCAGCTTCTCAGGGTGAAGATTGGAGAAAAAATTCTCTTCTGCCAGGTGAAAGGGAAAAGTAACCTCTTTGAAATAAACCAGAGCATCTGTTCTCCGTAACAATGCTCTGCCCTATTTATTTACCAGAGTCTAAATGACTTGTGGGAAGGGAAATACCCAACTTCAACCCCCTCTGATCTTCCTGTCTCACCTAAAGGAAAAAACAAAAAAGCTGAGAAACACTTGTGAAGGTCATCAGCCAGGAGCATAGGCTCAGTAAGAGACCAAGATGGATCGACAGATTATGGGATGCTTCCCCTGTCCCCACATTTTACCACCACATCAACCAGGGTCCTGTGTAATAACAGTGGATTACAGCTAAAAGAATTTCAAGGCTCAGACTCTGTTGATTTTCAGACTCTATTTTAAGAAGGAGCCTCTAGGGAAACCCAAAGACAACAGCGGATGAGAAAATGAGGACATTAAAGGAAATGTTAGCCTCTTGACACATACAGCTACAGCAAACATTATACACAGCCTAACTCTTAACCAAATCAATATAAATTCTCACACTAAAAGCCTACCTACCTCAGTTTCTTTAACCCAATGCATCATGTCTAGCTTTCAACAAAAAAATTACAAAGCCTGCCAACAGGCAAAAAACACAGGTTGAAGAGACAAAGCAAGCATCAGAACCAGACTGAAGGAGGGGATATTGGACTTATCAGATTAGGGATTTAAAATAACTATGATTAATATGCTAAAGGCTCTAATGGAAAGAGTGGACACCGTAGAAGAAGAGGTGGGTAATGCAAGCAGAGACATGGAAACTCTAATAAAAAGTCAAAAGGAAATGCTAGAAATCAAAAACAGTGTAACAAAAATGTAGAATGTCTTTGATGGGCTCATCAGGAGACCAGACACAGAGGAGGAATCAATGAGCTTGAATATATGTGAATAGAAACTTCTAAAACTAAAATGCAAAGAAAAAAAAAAGGATGAAAAAAGACAGAACAGGGGCCAGCCCTGTGCCTGAGTGGTTAAGTTGACATGCTCCACTTCAGCGGACCAGGATTTTGCTGGTTCGGATCCTGGGCGCAAACATGGCACCACTCATCACGACACGCTGAGGCGGCATCCCACATGACACAACTAGAAGGAGCCACAACTAAAAATATACAACTATGTACCTGAGGTCTTTGGGGAGAAAAAGAAAAAATAAAATCTTAAAAAAAAAGAAAGAGACAGAACAGATTATCTAAGAACCGTGGGACAATTACAAAAGGTGTAATGTGCACGTAATGGAAATACCAAAAAGAAAAAGTGAGAAAGGAACAGAAGAAATATTTGAAGTAACAATGGCTGAAAAGTTTTAAAAAGTAGTGAAATATTAATTGCTGCAGTAGATGTGGATTAAATCACTTAGCAAGTAGAGTGTGAAATGAGGAGAGGAGAGGGTATCAGAGCTGTCTTGAGGACTTCCATGACTTACTGCCAGAGTAGAAGAGGATGTCTCCACTGAGGAGGCACAGAGGGAATGAGTAGAGAGGAAGACAAGGAGATCCATGTGTCCTGGAAGCCAAGGAAAGTGAATGGAAACGAGAAGGGATGGTCAATTAATGGCCAGTGCTTCAAATGGAGCACCATATTTTTCATTTTCATTTTATTATTTTATTATTTTATTTATTTATTTATATTTTCCTTTTTCTCCCCAAAGGCCCCCAGTACATAGTTGTATATTCTTCATTGTGGGTCCTTCTAGTTGTGGCATGTGGGATGCTGCCTCAGCATGGTTTGATGAGCAGTGCCATGTCCGCGCCCAGGATTCGAACCAACGAGACACTGGCCCGCCTGCAGCGGAGTGCGAGAACTTAACCACTCGGCCACGGGGCCAGCCCCTCATTTTAATTTTAAAAGAGAATGCCAAATTATTTCTTAAAAATTTGCTAGGCATCTAGATAAGTGCCTATATCCCCTCATCAATAGTGGGTGATATAAATATTCCTTATGTTTGCCAATCTTAAGTGGCTGGATAGAAGATAAACATACATAAATTAAAATCCTTCTTTTATACTTCCCAT